ACTACTGAACCAACACTTTACAGTGCAGTCCAGAGAGCACAGAAAGACAAGAATACAGAGTGGGGTGGAATAGCTGATTATTTAATGCATATATTCCAGTCTGTTGATGAGTTTCATAATGTTTTGTATCATGACGATAGTTTTTATCAAGAAATAAGACAGGTACAAATCAAGTTGGCAGAATACAACCCTCACTTATGATATGATAACATTTGAGAAAACTATGACAGATTTTTCGGCCTTTTCATTTGAGATTTAAAGTACTTACTCACTACTTACTAATAACAGATCCTGAATTTGAGGGTTTACACTTATCAGGATTTCTTTCAATTGAAAAATATAGCAACAAGATTCCTTGCTGACTCTTTGTATAAAACCAAAATTCCTTTTTAAAGAAAAGAAAGATTCTGACAGAAATGGGAAGTCATTGAAATGGAYTGATGACCAGAATGAGATTTAATAGGAATCCTCGATTAGATCAGCAAGATCATACTTTAACTTTATTTTGTTTTCCTGCAGGAAGTTCAATTAAAGCTGATGAAATGTGAAAAATTTGAAATGGAACTTCAAAGTTTACAAAGGGTGTATGAGGTCTGTATGTTGGTGGTGTATGCACCATTTATGTGTTGTTCCTTGCAATTCATGTCAAAGCAACTTCATTTGGGGGACAAAACTGTTGTTTTGGATCTATAATCCATTATTTTGCTCTCCAGGCTGCTTTCCTATCATGAGCTACAAGGGGTGTATTTTTCGTACTATTTGTTAACTGTTTCTTCATTTATAGGCTCTTGATAATCATGGAAACTTCCTTCAAGAACAACTCAATGCTTACAAAGGTAATGATGATGATGATGATGATGATGATGATGATAATGATGATGATGAGGATGATGATGGTGATGATACTGTTGATGATGATGATGATGGTGGTGATGATGATGATGGTGGTGGTGACAATGATGATGCTGTTGATGATGGTGGTGGTGATGGAAGGCAAAATGGTGATCAAAATTTATGATGATGATTAAAATGATTTTGAACAACAAAGACTTCAGATAAGAACAACTTTCCTGCTCATTTCTACTTGTCGCTTTAGTTTGTCCATATAATAAAAAGAACATTACACGTTGGCTTCAAGATATGAATTTGATTTTTGAGTGGTGAAAACAATATTTTACGAGTGAGCGCAATGTGAGCGCCACCGTGTAATATCCTCTGTATGCGATAATATAATTAAATTAATAATAATGTAAGTATTTCATTCTTTCAGAATATCTAGTCGTTGTTAGATCCAGGGCAGCATCAGTATCAAAAGTACAGAAGGTTAGTATGTATGCAACACTTACTTAAATCTCTTTTCGGGAGTTAGTTTGCTTTATTGGGCGTAAACTTAAAAATTTTATTTTATCGTTATCTTAATAGAGAAGTAGTTTTGGTTTGTCATCTTCACAAAGTGGTCCTAAAGTTCTCAAGTTTACTTACACCCAACTAGAGAGAGAAGGCGTTATTATAGAAACTAACGATATACCTGAGAAAAAGTAAGTAAATATTAAAGATCGTTCCCAGCAGTCACCGGTTTGGCAGRTTAACGCTGCTGACCACTGGTAACGCAGGCGAATGTCAGACTGATAATGATAGTGRAAATGATAATTTATTAGGCAACCAATTAGTCAAAAATCAAGTCATTCATRAACACTGAAGCCACTGATATTGCAAAATGGTTAAGAATTTTTGTTTTTTTGAGCTGGGAAAATGGGATTTGCTTAGGAAAGAATGCAAGAAAGGGAATTACTTCAGACTGTATCAACAACTATGGTTTGAAACTGATGTTGACTGATCTCGATGGAGAGATTCGGAAAAAAAAAATTTTACTGAAGTGAATTTTATTTCCTTTCTACTTTTTATTTCCTTTTTCGTTTTTTATTTCAGTCTTTTAATCATTCTTTCTATTTTTATGTGATATTGAATAAGYATTTGCTGATTGTGTGGTTATTGTATTTATCAGAAAATCCGATATTTCCGTCACTGTTTCATCGCCAGAGCCAGGAGTGTACACCATAACTTTATATTACAAAGGTAAAACATGACCTGTACGGAACTAGGGAAACAACTGAGCATGCAACAAACTAACAGACTAACGGTCCCTTATCGTTATAACAGGCACCTTCGAAACTGAAATTAAAGACGTATAGGTTCCCATTTTATAGTACCTGTTTCACGTTTTTTTTTTTTCGGTTTGTTTGTTTGTTTGTTTGTTTGTTTTTCGCGCAATACTCCGTGCCCTCATCCGTGCCTTATGCATGACAACAACCGAACGATATTCTCGACATTGCCAGGTGTTGCACAAAATAATGACGACGATCATGTTACACCATGAACTTGATAAATATTCGCAAGTTCTTGTTACAAGGTTTTGAAACTGAATCAAAAGTTTAAATCAAAGGTTTTKACATGCTGCCRTATCSGAAAAAATCRAAATGCATTAATTTAATCGCATGAAACTCTTAGAGAATCCACAATAGCGAGTTTTCGCTGTATAAGAGCATGATTATTTCCGTGAATKTTTTTAGGGGATGTGGGAAATTGGGGTGTCCGCACAAGGTGATTGTCAATACTGTAATTACCTGRAAGGTCATCATGCCAAATTTTAAAGAATTTTGATCGTTCGCCGTCATTATTTTCACACATACGCCCTAAATCACTGTAGTATCACAATTTTTCCATATGATTATACATCAATTTATATTCTTATTAATTCGTTTCCTTCATCAATCGCAATTATTTCAAATTCCCTTCCGTGCACTTAAGGGTTTACTAATCCTCACTCGGGTACAGATTGATACATCTCTCCTTGTTCCAGGTGAAACTAGTAACGCATACGAAACTGATCTAAACTTGGAAGAACTTCTTGAAAAACAACACTTAAGCGAACCGGTAAGTGATTATTTACATAGGATCCGTAGTTTTCGCGCGATGTTTTTCAGCAAACACAGCAGTTTTTGAGAGTAATATTTCCCYAGCTCTCCTCCCTATGAAGACACATTCATTGAGGCAGGTCTTGTTTTGTTTCCGTCTGTTGATAAAATAAAAGCAAAATATACGACAAAGACTTTATGAAACTGTACACAATAACGACAACAACAAACTGTTTCGGYYCCTTTATTATTAAAGTGAGAAAAGCCATTAATACAACTAAAGGAAGCCATTCCTGCAGTTGATTTACACAATAACGAAAAGCAATTCGGATGCTAAGGGAATCACTAAGGGTTATACTGGGACAATGTTCAAAGCCATTTGAGTGCTGAACGTTGCGTTAGTTTGACCAGAAAAGCCAGTTTGCTAAGGATTCGATTGGTGCGACGATGAAAGCCATTCAAGTTTTAAACGTTCGAATATTGGCACAGTCAATAAAAAAAGCCATTTAAGTGCTAATTTTCGAGTGGTTCATTAAATGAAGTTATCTGTTATCTACAAATGTTTTGATTGACGATAGTTGCTATTGTAGCAAAGGGTTCCATTATCAAAATTCTCCTTATCGTAGATCGAAGTTTCGTAAGAATTTTTTATCGCAGWAGCATTGGAAGAAACAGTAATGACTATACCAGAAAACACTAGCAACATGATAGGCAATCAAAGTGATAATAATACATAATGATGTTGAGGATTAGTGTACACCCATTGAAAAAGCGTTGTCGGTTTCAAAACGTTTACGTCATTAAAGCTTAGGCCGAAAGGGAGAATGGGAGGGTAGGAAACTTACTAAGAAATCTTCTGTAACATTAAGGTAAAAGGGCTCATAAAAACTGTCTGTCTGTCTGTCTGTCGGTATGTATGTGATTAACATTGTTCTAGTTCCAGAAAGCTGTCTGCATTGAACAATTAGCGCTTCCTCTACAAGAAATGTTACAATGTATATGATACAAATGTTTGAATACCCAGAATCCACTTCGGTTTTAGCTTTAATATGTTACATTTTTTAAGGTTTTTCAATTGGATGAAYGATAATGATAAAGGAATCATACACAAATAATGCTAATCATGATGTTAATAATTATCATAATGACACTAATTTGCGGTATTTCAAACTTTTATTGAAATTCTAATTCAATAATACCAAAAACAATGAAAAGAATTACACCAAAAACACATAATTTCCATAAAAGACGGTCAGAACATGACAAATTGAAAACCCTTAAAAAATATCTCCACAAAAAGAATGATGAGGCATTTTGTCCGTCCCCTTTTTGAGCGTCTTTTCAGCTTGTCAGGGTAATTTGACTGATCTTCAAGCGATTGACACTGCTAAAAATAAAGCCAATTCTTCGATTTGCCAAATCTTCCTATTGCATTATACCACTCGAGAGATGATGTTATCGCTGAAAGAAAACCGGGGCACTCCCATTGCTAAAACTATTGAGTCTTCATCCCATTTATAATCCTACATCCTGTTGAGAATAATAGATTATCAGTCTTTTGTGCAATTTCTTCCGTTTTGATACCAAGTTGTCAACATACTTCAAGATTATGATCTGCATCCCCATCTTTTGCTATTTATCGGTCGAGATCGATTCTGATATGGGAAATCAAATCTGTGGCATTGATTTGAGATGAAATGATGCCAGATATGTTTATATTGGATTTACTWTTGGATAACGATATTAGTTTCCCAAAAAATATCTTTTGCCTCGATGTTTTTTTCATGCATTCAAAAGAAAACTTTTTTTAAAAGATTGGAAAAGGAGCTTTTCTACAAAAAAAAATTCCAAATGATTTTATATATTCATTTAAGACTTGAGCATCTGTGTGGTTTTAGGATGAAACGTTTTCATAAAATTCCTATAAAAATTAAAATTAAAATAGTTGTGCATTTTAGCTGTATTTTTACATGAATAGTTTGGGGTTTCTTTCGTAAAAATTCGCATTATCTCAGATTGTGAGGTTTTTATCAAGCTCTTTTATTTGTTTTAATAAAAAATAYAGATATAATCACGTTAATTAACAGTAGGGCCAACGGACGAAATTTAATTTGATTTCCCTAGCCTAAAACTAATTGTAGGAACTTTTCAAATTCGTTTTTTCTTTCACATGCAGATATCCTCGAAAGTAAGATTAATTGAACTGTCAGGTTTTCAATGMCCTATTTCTCAGGGGTTGTTGATAATCATTATCACAGTTAAATTAAGAAAAATTGTGAAAACAAAAGAGTTTTTTTCGTTGGATGTCCAATCGCTGATATTTCAATCATTCTATTCATAACGGTCCTCCAATAAGATAAGTTCAGCTTTAAAATCATTCGTTGAGTTCAATTAAAATCTAGGGTTTTTTCTCTTCTTTTCTTTTCATGTATGGACCCAAACACTTAACGCTTAATACAACAAAGAAATCCATTCGACTCGCGACTTTCAATTAGGTTACAGCCCTTTGTTTTGTATTTTTTGTTTGTAAATGTAGATGGACAGCGCGCCTTTGTGCTCGGGCGAGTTTTCAATAGAACGTAAAGTGGCATTGTCTAGCTGTAAACATTTCTTTTCAATTTCTCGGAGAGCTTGGTGAATTGAATGTCAGCTCAAGTCAAACCTACTAATAAACGGTTGCTGTGAGACTTTGTTGTTTGTCGTGCTTTAATCTCTGTTCGTGCCAGAGTGAGGACACACTTTTCCACATTTTCTTCGTTTTGGTGAACTTTGAAACATTCGTGCCTGGATAATACTTGTTTCTTCGCTGGTAAGAACTCAATTTAGGCTAAATTTTGCGCTGTAATTTTGGGTATTTTTGTTTTGAACTGTGAAGAAGATGCCAGCAAATTTTCTCAAATACGAATCAGTCTGCCCTCCACGACATACAAAATCTCGACAATTCAAATGTTTTGGTCATCATTTCAAAAACATGGGACGTTCTCTTCTCTTCAAAACAAAAATAAACAAATGCATATTTTAATCATTTTGAATTTGAAGCGAAATGTTGTAGATATTTATTAAGTTCTCGGCTAGAGATATTTGTTTTTGTTTCTGAAGTTGGTTTATCGTCTCAATGCGTTCAAAATGAGCCTTGCTATTTGTACAAATGATAACATCTATWTTATGAATAGTAGTATATTAGTTAGGAAAGAAGTCTCCTTCCTTTGTCGACGGCCTTTTGAATCTTAATCGTTCATTGAAACTAGAGTTTCTAAACGCCCCATAGTCAGCTCAAAGAAGATTGCAGCAAGTATCTGTTCTCTTAAAGTTTCTCAATGTTTYTAGCTGATGTTTTTGTATTTCTTCCTCTATCTATGGCGGGGTCGTTCGGTTGATTAAGTTCCAGTATATTTTCCGCTTTTCGTGGTGATTTCCCTGATAACTTTATCTTTTTCTTTTAGTTTCTGTCCTCTGTTTGTTTACTTAAGGCTTAGGTATGTTTGTTTATCGATCTAATGTAAGTACTTTTATACTCTTTTAAGTCATTATCAAGTCCTATACTTTAAGGTTGACAGTCACTCAAATTTAATCTCCATGGCAACCGCTGTTGAACTTTGGATGGCAGTTATGTCACTCAGAATGTGACGTTGCCTTAGTAATATTGAAATTGATCCCCCCAGGTTCGTATACTTATGGACATGCGTAGAATCTGTGCAGGAATAACCTCTTCTTTACGGACACCAAAGTAACACGGACTTTGGGACAGAACCTTAAAATAATAGATTAATGATACTCTGAAATAGTAATAATCATGCTAAAGATTTTTTGACATGTATATTAATATAGATATATCATTATAGGGACATTTTTTTGTAATACTGGAACTCTGTTCGGATTACAGAGCTCCAATATAAAAGTGTGCTGATGTGCGTTATGTGCAAATTGTGTGCTGGTTATCATTGATTGGAATCAAGTCAATTTCCTTTGTTTTTGAATTTCTTCTCGATTATATGTGTCTATTTAATCCTGTATTCATAGGAATGTATTGCAAAAAACGTTTGAGGTTGTATGTTGAAGTTGTCAATATTTCAACTCTACTTAAAGTACAACAGTGGTAACAGATGTGCGCAGCGGACTACATTGTGCGACGGTGCTTAGCTATACTGATAATCTTGAAATAATCCTTTCATACAGTCTCTTACAGTGAAGCTAGCGATCACATAAGCTTATGACATTCTCTCAGCTAGATAACATCAACCGAATATCATTAAATACGTAAATTGTAGAGTGTTTTCTTCATTAGGATGATAGGATTTCATTATAACTCAAAGTTTCCTCTATTTTATTTAATAAAGTACCTTTCTTTCAATGTCTAAAGAYTTAAGTATTAGCAAGTTTATGACATTATTTCGTTTAAAGTAGAACTTTCCGTTTGTATTCAAGATTATTTCGCGATTCCCKTTTGATGATGTATGTTAGACCAATTTAAACGTTGTTGATTTTGAAATTCGGGGCTTATTGTTAGCTTCTGTAATCTCAAATTATGTTTTCCTGTAAGTTTGAAGTTTATTATTGACATTGCAGTTTATTAATAACGCTCAAAAAGCCCGTTTACATAAAAAAGGYCGTGATTAATTTTTATTCTGTTTACTTGGACGAATTTGAATTTTATATTTTAAAACGAATCAAGGTTTTCTTATTTTCCTTATTACACTGTAAGGGTATTACATAAATCACGATTTACTAGTACAGATCATAAAGAGGCTCTATAGATCTTAGATATTATCTTCTATCTGAATATATGGTATCTTCTAGACTGTTTTTCTTAATTGCAACATTCTCAGCTTTGAACATGCTGAATTTCTTATTTTAAATGCTCGAAAAATATTGGCTTAACTATATTTTCATTTCTAATTCCTGTCCTCCACACTAACGGATATTGTGTTTTGTCAAGAAACGGAGGTTAATTTCCAATTCTGACAATTCAAGCAAAGAAAGAAAAAATTCCCAGCTACAAAATTCCTAATTAGAGCATTCTGTTTGCAGATCTCCTCAAGTTCTGGATTGAATTTACCAAAACCGAAAGTTAATTTCAAATTGGCGCGAGAAATTTCACATAAATGTAATTAACTTTCAGGGTAATAAACTCAGTGTAAATTTTTCATACAATTTAAGTTAATAAATTGTTTCATATATTGGCGAATAGCGCTTCATTGTTTCTTAATCTTGGTTATTTAGCTAGGAACTTCATATACTTCCCAAGTTAGCTTAAGATKTTTTTAATTTTTAGACATCAAATAGTTTCCGTTAGTGGGTCTCCTTTGGTTATTAGATCGGTGATTCGGAGGCCCGCTTCTATCAAATTAGCGCATCTATAGTAATTTTTTGCCATCGCTTTTCAAAGTTCACTTCCTCGAAAATTAGATTTCTCTTCCGATTTGATGTTTACTTAAGCAAAACTTGATATCAAGGAGCGAATTTACTGCAGAATTTAGACATGTAGACCTTAAACACTAGTTTATGAGTTGTTTTTAGCTAGCTATTGCTTGGGGCAGTAAAACACTTCAAAATATGCTTTCATTTTATTATAAACACTAGTATTTCGGAAAAACTAATTTCAATTTGCCGGCGATTCAAAAGAGGGATTCGCGACGTTTTTCTGTGTTTCTGTCCTATCTTTTGAGATCGGTCAAAATGCTTATCGTGAAGGTTGTCGTAAAATTTAAAGCTCCCTATCAACAATGACAATTTGAATATTTTTTGCTTGGAACACACGTGGAAGTCCAAGTCGCAAGTCATTGTTGGAGGGAATTCTAATTTGGCAGGTGTCTGACTAAGACAGGCTTAGAGAATAACCGCAGAATTTATCGAGTAATCGAGGGTATTAAAACCTCTAGAGGTTTAAACGTCTCTACCGTTAGTTGTATCAAAACTCYAGGATTATTTTAGCACAGTTTGTAGTCAGTCGTTTGTGCGATTCGTTGTGATGTGTGCTTGAAGTGTTAATAGGTGGACCAACACGTGTTCCTTGACCATGCTGACCTAAATAACACACAACGTTCCACTTTATCATAGTAATTATCGTTCTAGGCTTGAAAATTACCAGCTCAAGAAAACAGACGAGTAGATGTCTTAAACTTGCTTGGAATTAGCGCGTTTGGATCAGATAACACTAATAGACTCGCTGTTTTAATTCTCTTATTTAACATATTATTTTAAATTACCATTTGGAACTCATGGTATTATAATGATAGGATGCATTTATATCGTTTGATATCCTGGGATCGTATATTAAAGTTTATTTTCATAGCGTTCGATCAACCACACCAACTGTCGCTGCGTGGGGCTTGTCGAATGTTTGATTGGCCGAGGATGCTGCACGTGTTTAGAAGTATTTGGCCTTCGCGCTTCAGAATTTAGGACCAATGCACGATCTCAGAGGAACACCATCTRAATCTAAACGAGCGATTCAACTCGTAGAAAAGAAAGATTCGTTTTCGARTTAAATCGATGCTATTTTAGTTGACTCGGGTGGTACCCGCGGAGAGGAGATGCGAACAACTTTATCTGCACCTGTCGTATTAGTGTTCTTGTTTTCTGCGCAGTGTTTCCTAAAAATTTGAACGACACTCTTAAAACCTAAGCACATGGAATAAAAACAAAAACAACATTGAAAAAATAAATGAATTTCCTATTTCCTATTTCCTATTCATTTTCCCAGTCATTTTTATCATTCACTCACGTAAAACCTAACGTTCTCGATAATGAAGCCATTAACACCAGCTCAGCCCTTGCATACCAAATTTGGTCAAATTTAATTTTTTAAAAGATGCTGTTTTGTCTATGGTATTTTTGCGTTTCGTGTGCCATAAGTGCTGTGTGCGTTACGTGCGAACGRATCAGCGTGAACTCCCACGTGAGAACCTGCCAGTCGTTTCTTTATGGTGCTATGGAAGCAAGTTTACACTGTGGAGGATCTTCAAGCGATCGTGTTTTATGATTGTTACCTTGTGTTATTAGATTAACGTAAAGATAAGCTAGTTCCTCCTAAACACGCTGCATTTTCTTACTTCCCGCGCGCATTTTTCGCCAATGATCATCTTATTTTTACGACAGATTAAAAATGAATTAAAATATTGAATCATTTTTAGCGCCTTTTTTTTCCTTGCGCAATCTGTATTGAATTTCGGATTCTTATAAGTTTAGTTTTTATCAAAATTGTTCAAACGATTCATATTTAATGTTGGCTTTGAGTTTTTTTTCCTTTATACTCAAATCAATTTGTGTATTTTGTGGTGAGTTGGTTGTCTAAAACACTAATATTTTCACCAGGAATATGGTGAGATTATGAACCAATTTTGGCAGGTGTAGCCCTCTGTTTTTCTTCCCTAGTGTGATACCTTTGTGCGGTTTTATTCCGATACCCGTGAGTATTATGGGATGCTGAGTTCTAAAGAAGTACCGTGTATTCACAAAGTGGTCATGTTTTCTATCCCATGCTGTTCAAAATATGTTGAAGATCTGTTATGCTGATTAAACAAGCGGTAAACATATTTGAATTTTTTATGATTCGTCACAAACTAGCTCTAACGACGTCAAGATGATCGCTAGGGTAAAATCAATCACTTCCAACTTGCTAAAGACATTCTGTTCCATGTTCTTTCCGAAATTAAATAAATTCCCAGCACAAATAGAACATGTATAATACTAGTTTAGATATTATGGATCATTGAAATAAGRATTTAACAGAAATATCCCAGAAATAACTGTTTAAAAATCAGTATGTGTAGATAACTTTGTTTGCAGATTTCAAACGTTATTTGTGTATTGATTAACTGATTTTTTGAATACTTGAAGAGTAGATTGTTGAATGCCAAACACATCGAAATACAATAAGTATGTGTTCTATAATAAATGGGTGACRTAGAACTAAGGATATTTCAGAGAATCCTAATATTACCTTAGATTTAACCAAAAACATTTGAGCACTTTCATCTAACTAAGTTCTCAGTTAAAACAGATTAGTTACCGTGAGACTTTGTCGTATTTCTGAGCATTTGGAAAAAMWTAAACAAGACTCAGCGTTGCTAAGTTCCTCATTAAGGTAGTCATAGAGCGTTAGTTATCACGGCCGAATTTAGCACTTTCTTGTGAATGCCTCTGTGTTGAAKCTATGACTAGTCTTTCGCCAGTACTACCAATTAATAAAGAGTGAAACTGAGAATGGGAATTAAATCAAAAACGATCATTTCCTATTCTGTCTCAAATTAACATTTTCCAAAGGCAGTTATAGATGGTTTGATGTTGGTATTCGTAAAAATCATATACGAAGTGTTCATAAGAACTGAATAAAAAGTGATTACTTTCCGTCAATTTTTAGAAAAAATGATTAATATTAGAATTTTAATRAAAAAGGGATTTCTTTTTCTTCTTCTTTTTGGTACAATTTTCAAAAATCTATGTTATTGTCTAGTGCCTATCCGTGTTTGWTATTCTTTGCAGTTATATACTTTACAATGGACTAATTCTGAAGCGGTCATATTATGTGTAATATATACAATGTATAGACAAGTCAGTGTTAATCAAAAATGCTTGCATTCATGTTCTATACAGAATACTATAGAATAATAAAGCTGAAGGGGTCATAGTTACAATACATAGTGTATATGCAAAAGTGTAAATAAATAGATGATTCAAGAGATACAAAAAGATTGGAGTATATTAAGAGTATTGTAGCTCAGTCAATAATGAATTCGATAGCTTTAACATGGGAAAAACTGTAACGAAGACACATTTTGGTGTAAATAGAACAAGCTAATGATTAAGAACCGTTACTTGGTCGCCTAGCAACTAGGGGCATCGCCCAAGGCACTTTTACTTTGTAAAATGACTCGTTTTGTGATTTTCAGTCGAAGCTAAAACCTCTAACAATGAATGSTATGATTGAGTGATTCTAAAGATTGTTCAATTTAAAGGCAATTTGCCTTTTGTTGATAGTTAAAATAGAGGTCAAGTTTATCATTGGGATAAAAAGAGTGATCCCTGATCATATCGTAGGCTGTAATTACCACGTTTGACAGTCATTACTATGATTATCGCCCTCCAATTGATCAGAATTCGATACTATCAGCAGTTTTTACTGATTCGCTCTAGGCATTAAAACCAGACAAATGCTATCCAATGATAAAAGGTTCTACGTATAATATTCTCAATGCTGGATTTACTCAGTTTCGAGATTATTAAAGACGATTTTCTCTTTAAATKTCATCAAATAGCTGCCCACTTCGTTTGTATGAACAAAACTTAGTAGGCAAAAAAAAAAATAATTAAAAAAATCGTCTGCTTTATTTTGAAWTTATAAAATGTTCTGAAAACAAAACAAGTTACGGCACCTTTTGGCTCACTGAAGTTCKTCTTAGTCCTTAGAATAGTTAAAAACGTGTTTGAAAAAGCCTTTTTTGTGTTGTATTTAGCATAGAAAATTGTCTAAAATTGCTTAGTTTACTCTTTTCGAGTATCATATATGAGTATCAAAGAAATTGCCCTGAAGCGCAGGAATTCATCTCTTCCGTTCACGCCAAAACACTAACATTATTAAAAACAATTTAAATGATACAAGTCTAAAATAGASTGTCTGGAAAGGTTTGAAAAGGTAAAAATTGAATAATATAGCTTTGTATTATATTATACAGAGGAAAAACGCCCGTATATGTGTGATTTTGGGGATGCTGCATTAATAACTAGTGTATGTTTTGAGTCGGTGGAAGACGCAAGGCGGAACTCACAAATTAAACGTATCTTGAAATGGAGTATTTTGAAATCATCATTTGCGAATCTTGGTTTTTAGCCGCAATCTTCAAGATCACAGGGTTAATCGCTTACTTTTTGAGCGCTAATATGCGACTTTCATCTATCATTTCTATCATTAGAATTTGCCGTTATTATGGCTATTTTTAGAAGCCAATGTATGCGAAGTATAACTCAAAAGAGAAAAACAGTTTTCTCAACGCCAAAATTTTTAAATAACAAACATTAATTTGCGGGAGTTTTTTAGTGAAAGTTGTCGCAAATCTAGTTTAAGCTAAGTCCTTATTCGAAATGTGTTCTTAAGTGAGAAATTAAATGCACGAACAAACAAAACCGAAGTAATTTCGGATAAATT